TCATACACTGGCAGAACAGCCGCTAGGGGCAATTCGGGGTTCAGTATCTTGTCCAAGGACACTTCGACACGCAACCAGGGGGAGCAAGGGATTGAACCGCCGACCGTCCGATTAATGGCCAACCCGCTCTACCTCCTGAGCCACAGCCGCCCCACAAACTGTAACATAATATTGTTCTCTAAGAGAACTAAAAACATTAGAGCCTCATAGTACTTGAAGAGACCCATGAGAGACAGATTGTGGAGATATTATATGTGGTTGCAGAGACTTAACCACTACATGTTTCTAGACTTAAAGTCATGTTGGCTACATAGGAACTGTTATTATTAGTTATTTTAGAATTCTAAAGTACATCATGCATCCGCTTATTGAACAGCAGCGTGGCTAAATGGAGAGATTATTCCTTAACTAAAAGACCCAGTTCCATAGCCTGCCAAAGTGTCACTACATACTGAGTAATTTGCGAAAACTGTAGATGTAGCATGCCAGTAGTGCTACAGTTTAAAGCAAAATTAATTTTCACTACAGCATCACAGGATTGCACTACAATTGTGTGTGTGTGCATGTGTGTGTGGTTATCCGTGTCCCAGTGTGTTTTGCTATTTACAGTGGTGTGAAGTGTGAAGTGTTTGCCCCCTTCCTGATTTCTCTTTTTTTTTTTTTGTCACACAGAAATGTTTCAGATCAAACTAATTGAAATATTAGAATATAAGATAACACAAGCAAACACAGGTTTTTATTATTAAGGGAAAAAATCCAAACCTACATGGCCCTGCGTGAAAAAGTGATTGCCCCCTAAACCTAATAACTGGTTGGGTCACCCTTAGCAGCAACAACTGCAGTCAAGCATTTGCAATAACTGGCAATGAGTCTTTTACAATTTTGGCCCACTCATCTTTGCAGAATTGTTGTAATTCAGCCACATTGGAGGGTTTTCGAGCCTTAACTGCTTTTTTAAGGTCATGCCACAACATCTCAATCAGATTCAGGTCAGGACATTGACTAAGGTCCCATCCACACTACTGCATTTTCAAATGAAAACGGAGACCTTTTGCTACGTTTGCACAGGGTTGGGGAGTAACGGATTACATGTAACGGCATTACGTAATTAGGATACAAAAAAAATGTATCTGTATTCCGTCACAGTACAGAAAAAATAGACGTAATAAGATTACAGGTACATTTTGTAAAATCGGGGATTACTCACAGGGATTACTTAAGCAGAAGCTTTCCATGAAACAGAAAACGCAGTGTTATTTGCCTCCATATACAGTATGTTTTTTATATACAGTCTATGGTAAAAACCCAAAGCAAGGGAGGGACGTGTTGCAGACATTGATTGGTGTTTACAGTCTCCAGTAGCGGCGAATGTGTGTTTACGCCCCCTCCCCATCATGCAGACTCTGTGCGGACTGGTTCCAGCTTCCAGTGTGTGAACACAGCAGCTGGACCAGGACCGAACACAGCCCCCGAGACCGACAAAGGCCAGTTTGACCACGGGGGATACGGTACGAATGTGGTTTTCTTCTCCATCAAATATGATCCATTTTCACCAGAATCAGTGAAGAAAGTTGTGTTTTTGTACAGTGGTCAGCCCCAGAAACACTATGCTTCAGCAGCTTCATATTGTTTTCATTGGATGCTAAATTAATACAAGTGCAGAATGGGTAATTAAAATTGTAAAATGGTTATATATATGGAATACCTACAAAACAATGTTTTTGTCATTGATGGGCGAGATACTGCCATAGTGGAAAGCATATCATATAAAAACATTTAAATATGGATTTTGGGAATAGGAGATTTTGTTATTCTGTGTTTCTCTAAAAATACACTGAGCAGAAAACACATCAGTGATACTCCTCTTGTCTTCATTTGAAGTAATCCAAAAGTAACTGAAAGTAACTTTTATTTTTTGGATGGAAGTAATTAGTAATTGTACTGGATTACTTTTTTAAAGTAACCTTCCCAACCCTGTGTTTGCACCTCCCGTCCAGACTAAAACGGCAAAAATGAAGACCTAGAACAGAGAACTTTGGAATCGCTGCCGACCCCGTTTTGCGTTTCGAAATGCCGGAGGGCATTTTAGTGAAGACGGGCAAAAAGGGAGGATTTTAGAAACGGATGATGCAGACGCTCACACTTTGCTCTCTGATTGGGTCTTATAAGTCATGCAAAGAAGAAACACGATGCTACTAAAAGACTTTGAGTTGTTATTTTTATTAAAATATTCTGTACCGTGCAAATAACTCTTATCTAGCCTACGCTTGTACTGTGCATGTCGCTGTTTACTTTGCAACGACTCTCAGTCTGTTTTCTGCCGCCACAGTCCCGTGTTACATTCAGTAACAGTCCCAGTTCGTTATTGGTGCGTGCAAAAAACATCTGGTCTGATTCTTCACCTGTGTTTCTTTAGTCTTTCGCCAAATCTTCTGTAACTACGGAATAACCGTCTGCTTCATATTTACACCGCCATGGGGCCTAAGCCACTCCAAAGTCTTCATTTTGTTTGTCTTAAGCCATTCAGAGGTGGACTTGCAGGTGTGTTTTGGGTCATTGTCCTGCTGCAGAACCCAAGTGCGCTTCAGCTTGAGGTCACGATCAGATGGACGGACATTCTCCTTCAGGATTTTTTGGTAGACAGCAGAATTCATGGTTCCATTTACCACAGCAAGTCTTCCAGGTCCTGAAGCAGCAAAACAGCCCCAGACCATCACACTACCACCACCATATTTTACTGTTGGTATGATGTTCCTTTTCGGAAATGCTGTGTTACTTTTAACCCAGATGTAATGGACACACACCTTCCAAAAAGTTAAACTTTCGTCTTGTCAGTATATTCCCAAAAAGTCTTGGGGATCATCAAGATGTTTTCTGGCAAAACTGAGATGAGCCTTTATGTTCTTTTTGCCCAGCAGTGGTTTTCATCTTGGAACTCTGCCATGCAGGCCATTTTTGCTCAGTCTCTTTCTAATGATGGAGTCATGGATTTTTTTGACCTCTTAGATGAGTCGTCGGTGTGCTCTTGGGGTAATTTTAGTCAGCTGGCCACTCCTGGGAAGGTTCACCACTGATACATGTTTTCGCTATTTGTGGATAATGGCTCTTACTGTGGTTCGCTGGAGTCCCAAAGCTTTGGAAATGGCTTTATAACCTGATCTTTTGGTCTACTTCACTTGTTCAGGCAGGTCCTATTTAAGTGATTTCTTGAGTGAGAACAGGTGTGGCAGTAATCAGGCCTGGATGTGGCTAGAGAAATTGAACACAGCTTTCCAAACATGATAAACCACAGTTGATTTGTGTGTTAAGAGGGGGGCAAACACCTTTTAACACAGGGCTATGTAGGTTTCCTTGTTAATAATAAAAACCTTCATTTAAAAACTGCATTTTGTGTTTACTTGTGTTATGCAGAGCTGTATGTGTGTGTTTGCCAGGGGGTTTCTGTTATTCCAGCCATTGTCTGCGAGACTGTCTCTCGTCATTTGTACTGCCTAATGTGGAGGAGGAGTAGTGACATTGCGCACACACACACACACATATCTGCATATTCTATTCTATTCCCTTTCACCCACTTCCAGTGCAGTGGTTGGTATTACGCCAAGCTTCTCCATGAGTGACATTCACTTCACACACTGTGTGTGTGTGTGTGTGTGTGTGTGTGTGTGTGTGTGTGTGTGTGTGTGTGTGTGTGTGTGTGTGTGTGTGTGTGTTTTAAAGTTTTGGTTTAAATGTCAAGGCAGGTTTGTGCAATAGGTGTTTGCTCAAGCCTCATGCAAATGTATTTATAGTGTGTGTGGTAAAGAAGGTTTGTGTGCGTGGGATTATTTAAGCGTATGAATAAATTAATATACATATTTAGGTTAATGTGTGTTGCTCGCTACAGTATTAGCCGTGTGTGTTCAAGTGAGTGTGTGGAATGACACATGTGAATGTCTGTATGAGTTTACAGCTGTGTTTCTGTGTTAGTGTGTGACTCAGTGTGCATTTTTTGTGCATATGCAAGTGCATCTGTCAATGTGTGCAAATATGTGTGTCTCATAGACAGAAACCACCCCCAGCCTTTTTTCCAATCTGTTCCCTTCCTGGATCCTGTTTTTAGCGCCGGATGAGGCAATCTTTCCCATTGACTCACCCATGCAATGTCAAGAACCCTAACAACATACAAAGAGCATGGAAATTCATGTGTGTGTGTGTGTGTGTGTGTGTGTGTGTGTAAAAGAAAACGACATACGGACAGACAGAGTGAGTTTTTGTAACACAAAAAGAAAACAGAAAAACAGAACTTAGCTAAGGGAGTCATATGCAGTTAATATATATGCACTTGTATTGTGTCTAAAACTATCCCATTTAAATTTTTTTTACGTATTTTTTATGGTGGCCCTGAGACCGCAACAAACTGCAACTTAAGAAAAGACATGAAAATCAACAAAAGATTACTAATTTGCACACGTGCAGCGTTTAGAAGATATTCTGCAAAGTCTTTGTATTTAGTTGTGTTTTCTGTATTTGGTTGTTTTTTCACTACTTATCACTTTTCAGCATTATTTCTAAAGGCTGCTTATGTGTTGTCAAATTGGTGAAGATAAGGTGCTCAGATTTTACTGGTCAGTAGAGTTGAAGGTAATCATTTATCTAAGAATATGGACTGAAACCCCACTATCATGTTTAGAAGTAAAAATAAAATAAAATCAAATAAGGAAAGAAACTTTCTTACTGTGTAACAGTATCTTCGATTGGAACATATGTCTACATGTCAGAAAATTAATTTTATCTGCCATCTGAGCATTGTGTTTTGCAACTGCAAAGTGTTATATGAAACCATAATTCTGGTGGGGGTGGTTTACGTGTTTTCTCCAAACACTGGTTCATTTTGCCTTGTTTACATGTGCTTGTTTTTCAAGTAGGGTTTACCACAGAGTATTGTGTAAATTAACTGTTCTTTGTGGGGATGAAGCAAACTGACGCCTCTCTCCTCTCCCTCACCTCACCCCTTTTCCCAGATTCTTCAGTGGCAGTGCTGGTGTCGTACGTAACCCATGGACCTCAGGGTGGGAGAGCGGGGGATGTGCCCTGGTTCAGACACAGCGCTCCTCGCACCACTGCACCCGCCTTTACTTCTCGCCCCATTCTCCCCTCAGCCCCGCACCTCCTTCTCCCAACAACAATTGCACCAGCACATCAGGGTAACTTATATATATAATATATATATATATATATATATATATATAAACATAGATAATCTTCTAATCTAATAATCTAATAATAATAATAATCTAATTGTTAGATTAAATATATATTAGCTGTCTGAATAAAGACTTAGGCTAGCTTTTTGAATGACCATTTTATTTATATGTGTTGGTATAATATAAATGTGTGTGTGTGTGTGTGTGTATGTGTGTGTGTTAGTTTAACATGGAGCAGAGAAGGCGAGAGCAGGAGCACCACGAGAAACAACATGAGTTGCAGCAGTTAAAACACAAAGACAAGAGTCAACAGAGTAAGTCAGTCTCTCACACAAACACGCACACAAAAAAAGTATGGCCCAGATTGCTTATCAGGACCAAAGAGGAAAGTCCTGTAAGAGATCTTATTTGTGTTACTTTACTTTTAAAACAATTTGCTTTCACCTGACAAGTTGAGCTACAACAGTGGAGTTAAATATAGCTTTGGGTCTGTGAACATAAAGTCACTGGGTCAATATTGATTTGACCACCCCTAGCACCTCCTGTCACCTCTGTGTGCACACATTTGCGACACACATACACACTAATAGCCAAGGGCGTCAAAGCAGGGGGGGGCCTGTTATAATGTTGATGTTTAAAAATTAATTATTTATGATATAGGTCGTAGTTTTAGTAGTATAATAATAAACAATAAGCAAGTGTTTTACCACATTTGGTTGTAATTTTTTGAGACAAGATATAAATGTAGTTGCTTGATTGTTTATGCTGCATTTATCATTTTCAATTTTTTATTTAAAAAATAATTAAAGTATTATCCAGAACATGGAAAATTGTGTTTTCTCCACCATCCTTGGAATAAAACAAAAACTAGAAAGTACAGGTATTTATCCACACAGTGGATGAAATTATTTGTATAGCAGTTCCAGTTTCCATTATGTGTGACAGTGAAAATGAGGGTAATTTAAATGTTTAAACACTATTTTGGCTGTACTCTCTTCGCTGGTCTGTCTATGGCTAAGTTATAGCCAAGGCGTTAAAATTAGACCACTGATTGCCTCGATTTCGCCGGTTGGACTAAAAGCAGACTATATGTAGCCTGTCCAGTTCAGAGCTAAATTGTGGCTACAGATAGACCATGTCAATTAAATGGCACTTAATATCTTGTAGATATTATTGACATTGTGAAAATAATGGAATATCAACCATCTCACGCGCTGCCTGGACAAAAACTACATATGTAGTTTTTGTCCAGGCATATATATGTATATATATATCCACGTGATATATCCGTGTGATGAAAAAAACTTCAGCGCTACCAGGGCACCAACCGATCTATTGCAAATGTGTGGAACGTGTCCACCAGCTGACTGCTGAAAGTAGTATAGTGGGCTTGAACACAAAAATAGATTAAAGGTAGTGAAATTAGACATACAGCAATGTAAAGGCTAGAATTTTTTGAAAACTGCAAAAGAAACATGTCTCTAGTGAAGTCAGTTGTTTTTTACTATTCAGTATAGCAATCATTTTCTTAGTGTAGGGCTATGACAACTAAGATGGTACTTTTTTTCAGCGTAAAATAATGTTATTGTAAGCATGATACTCATAGTAAACCTCATTTAACCATTATAAAGTAATTGTAGAACACACTGTGTTGAGGGTTGAAATTAAAATGTGGTGAGATTTCAAACTGTGCAGAATTAAGCATTAAGGTGTCATTTGTGCTGGTGGACGCTGGGGAAGCTGGGACCCACCGCATTTTGAAATGACTGACTCACTTTTTGAAAGCATTATTTAAAAATGTTCTGAAAAATAGCTTGCACCAAGAAATGTTAACCAACAAATAAAAATGCTGCTGATATATTCTGTTAGATTCTGTTATATTTTTTTATTTATGAATTGTCATCTGCAAGCTGAATTTTAGTTAGACACGACTGTGAGCTTGAAACGAGTGAGAGCTGGACGTTAGCGTGAAAAAAGTGAGCACAAAGCGACTGAGACCCGGACAATAGGACGAAGCGACTGAGCGTAAAGCAACTGAGACCTGGACAATAGGACGAATCGATTGAGAGCCGGACAATAGCTCAAAACGATGGAGCTTGAAGTGACTGTGAGCTCCCACACCAAAGACATGTGTCTTATCCACTGCACCATTGCCACCCCACTTGTTTTAACTTGTTTAAATGTGGTAAAAACAGTTCATTAGTGACTGGCCTAATGACCACCACAGTTTAATGTGTACAGTTGCTAGCTTAATTATTTGTCAACGTTTTTCAAAAGATGGGTGACAGACAGGTACCAAGAGAGGAAGTGGGCCCACAGAGACTGCTTGTATATAGGACCCAGAATTTTGTGCTATGCCCCTGCTAATTGTTGTGAACACAGACAAACCAATGATATTATTTTGCACCGCACACAAATCCATCCATACTCTCAACCATGTATGCATGAATGGCATGCATTTTTATATATGGCATGTATATAGTATTTTTCCAGTTGTCAGCTAAATGTAATGTAATGTAAAGCCGCTTTTATCCAAAGCGACTTACAATTGCTATATGTCAGAGGTCACATGCCTCTGGAGCAACTAGGGGTTAAGTGTCTCGCTCAGGGACACAATGGTGTCTCACAGTAGATTCTCTCACACCAAAGTCATGTGTCTTATCCACTGCCCTGTCACCACCACCCGCTTTGTTATATATTTTATTAATAATCATTGCTTATGTCCAGCACAAATATGCCACAAGGGTTAGTTATACACACTGCTTTTGGCTGGGCCTTTCCTTGCTCCTCATTTTTATGATGAAGCAGTTGATCTTTCTATGTATTTGATTGGTTGATTGTGATATTGATTGATAGGTGCAGTGGCCAGTTCCCTGGTGAAACAGAAACTCCAGGAGGTGATTCTTAAGAAGCAGAAACAGGCGGCACTGGAAAGAACAAACTCCAACACTCTGACTGCCCCGCCTGTAGCATACAGGTGACACAAAATGCATACACACACACAAACAGAGCACAAAAGGAAAATATCAAAATGCTGAACATGCATCATGACCAGAGGTGGGTAGAGTAGACAAACACTGTACTCAAGTAAAAGTACTGTTACATTGCAAAAACAAGTACTCAAGTAGAAGTAAAGGTATTCATCAAAATAACTACTTGAGTAAGAGTACAAAAGTAAAAATTATTTGAGTAGTGAGTAACTTTTTGAGTAACTCAAGAAATAAAACATAAAATGCAATGGGTCTTCTTCCCCTAGTCTTTTATTTGATGTGGATGCGGCTAGAATTATTTCAAATGGTCTTTGCAGGTAAAGGTAAAGAAGTAAACAACAACATAAACAACAACATAGCTATATATTAATAAACATATTAGCATTAACACAAAAGAACCACCAACATGGTCTCATCCCAGGGCGTCAAATACCGACACTTCAAGAAAGCCTGACAAAGGGTCAGTTTCAGACACCCTGGGATGATACGGGGCTGCCTGCATGGTGCGCTAAACTTTAATCTGTAGCCTAAATATGAGCTCCTAGCGCTATTTAAAAGCGATACTTCTATGCTGTTGCTTTAGCCATTATTCTGCTCTAACAGAGTCATGTGGATGCATGACTGCTTTAAATAAATAAATAAGTAGCAAAACAGTAAAAGTACTCTTCTCTTAAAAAACTACTCAACTAAAAGTAAAGGTATGATGCATTAAAACTAATCAGTACCATTTACTCCAAAAAGTTACATGAGCACATGTAATGGAGTAAATGTAACTTATTACTACCCACCTCTGATCATGACCACATCACTTATGTATCTTCTACACACAGATCATTTGTTAAATAATCATTTGATTCCTTGTCAACTTAAGAAAGCTGGGCCCAGACCCCAGTGCATCCTCCCAGCTTTTGGTCTCGTCTCCGTCACAGCCTTCGTCTGAGGGTTCAGAGGGGACACCACTACGCAGAGCAGGTATTTAAATGTTTAGGATACGTGTGATAAAATTGATTTAAAAAAAAAGAATAAGTGACACTTCATTGATATTATGATGTGAAAGATCCTTAGACAGTCATGTTTATTTCTATTTTTTCAGTCAAATGACAAATCTCAATCATTTACCACCATAGTAAGTCAGGGGAATACAGTAGTTGTTTATGGAGTTAGCCATTTGTCTTTAATAGTGTAATATTCTCCATGTTGCTCTAATATGTTAGCATCTGAGCCCAATCTGAAGGTGAAACACAAGCTGAAGAAACACCTGAACACGCGCAAGAGCCCGCTCACCCGCAAAGAGAGTGCCCCGCCTACTGTTAAACACAGAGTACCTGACACATTGGGTAACTAGACACACACACTCACACATATATACATTATACAATAATGTAAAAATGCATTTTCACTAACAAAGACCACACCACTACAGATATGGATTTAGGCTATTTTATTGTATGATACGAATGGAGAACAGCTGAGATTAATTTGCCAGAATTAATTAAGAAATCAGAAGGAGAGATGCAGGGATGAGGAAGAAGAGTGAGGGGTCAAGGGAAGTGGGGATGAGAATTGAGGGTAGGGAGATGAAGAGATAAGAGTGATAAATGAGGGAATGGAAAGGAGAGGGATGGAAGGTTGAGGGGAGGCCAGGGGATGGATGGATGGATGGATGGAAGAGAACGATGGATCGGTGTCAGCCAGTGGCAGGTAGGCAGGAGGGATCAAGGGAGGTTGAGACTCAGGGCAGGTGAGCAATCTCTTCATGTGCTCTGGAACGTTGTCCACCGGTGGCAGTAAGACAGGAGGGAACCAGGAGAGTTGACACTCTGAGTAGAGAAACCATCTCTTCATGTGCTCTGCTACGAATAGAGCCCCTAGAACAAACGAAATGGAAATATGTTTCAGATATCAGATAGCTGTGGAGGTTAATAAGGTGTGCAGGAAAAGAGCTCTCTGTGAACCCGAGAGTCTTAAGGGGGAAACGTGACTGGCGTGAAAGGTAGAAGAGAAATGGGGAAAGGCTATGTCTGTATGGGTTGTTTGAAGCATGGTGGATGAACGAGATGGCCCTCAACAGAGGGAGGATATGCAGGAAAACCATTTGGACCAGCTGTGGGTGGAGTTGTGGTGAAAAGGGGTGCATTTGAAGAGAAAAAATCACATCATATACATTTGGGATATGGGGAGGGAGAGGGGCTAGGGGTGGGGGAATGAAGGGGCAAAAGACTAGATGGGATTGGCCGGTGGGACTGCCATGGGTGGACGGCATAGGTGCAGTCTGTGTGGCTGTGGTAGCAGGTACGGTGGTGGAAGAGCCCAAGAGGATGGGATACGAAAGGTAGGAACCGGGAAGAAAGAAGACTACTGGGGTGGAGGCATGCATGTGCTCGGGTTGTTAGTCAGGCTTGAGAAATAGAGAAAGTATGAGAAAAAGATTAAGGTGGTTCAGAGTTTGGTACGACCTGGCCCTCAGAGAGGACTCTAGTGCTGGGGAAACTTGGTGAGGGAGGGTTGTGTTTGTTGTGTAGTCCTTAAAACATGGGAAAGTTTTGCTGTTTGTCGGAGTGGTGAAAAGGGGATTTACGCTGGTTGAGGCAGATGACTGTCCAATCAGAAATTCTTAGAGCAGAGGGACAGTTGGGAGTGTTGACTTGGTGAATGCAAGTTGCAATGGCTTCACCTGAATTTGACATGCCTTGATCTGAGGCACTGGCGAAAGAAGCAGTAAAAGGAATTGATTAAATTGATTTGGAATTTATCAAGATCAGAGGGGTATGGCGTAAGTAACAGCAATGGATGATGCAATAACGAGGGAGGCATTGATAGTCAATCCACATGTCAGACATTGTAAGAAGTATGTTGAACAAAAACAACAATAAGCTGCAAGAAGTGTTGCCCCTGCGCGCCTGAAATGGGAGGGACAGCCATGGCCTCGTCGCTGGAGGCCAGGTAACTCTGCTGATATTTGACACTGCTTATCAACATGGGAATGTAAAAAGAATAGACAATGTATTGTAGTTGTCTATGCTTGAAATTGTGACCATGCTACCCCCATGGTCACTATTTCAAGCATAGACAAGTGACACAGCTACTTAAATTGGGCATGGCAAACTTAACAGTACACTATTCATCCTAGGAAAACATCCAGCAAGTAATGCAATCTATGCCGTTGGGCTGAGAAAGTCCAGTATATTATTATGCCATGTAGAAAGTGGAAACACAGAGTACAAGGTACTTGGTAAAATTTCATCATGTATTACGACAGGGTTGTAAAATGAAATGCAGTTTGTAGTTCCCTTGTGTTATGAAGCAGACAAAATGTGCAATAATTATAAAATAGTAAACAGGGAAAAACTCTATTGCATGGAGCGGTGGGGAGGACGAATTTGAATTTAAATCGAGGAGTCTCAGGCTACTTCTATGGAACTGTTGAGTAGAGTAGACAATAGACAGCAGACAGAAGAGAGAGACAATGGTAGAGCGGTAGAAGACAATGATATAAGTATGTAGAATGTGGAGCCAGTGTTACTGGGAGGATATGTTATTTGGTTTTGGGACGACTGGACTGAAAGACAGCTTTAAAATGAATAGACATCATAGATGCCAACTTCTGTAAAGCCTCAGTGAAGAAGGAGATGGGTTTGGTACAACTAGCCTTGTGAGAGGGCTTGTTTGGAAGGATATAGGATGCCATCTTGCAGACTGGACGCCAAGGCTCTTATTTGTGAGAAGTAAGGAGCGAGGAGTGATTTGAGGAGCTATGAGCGATGATACACAAATCACTGCAGTTTCATACCTGAGTTAAGACAGATTAAAAATGTATCACCTCCAAGTTTTATATTGTGTTTGTTTTATGATTCACCGTCTAGTTAAAATCTGTCTTCACTGTAGGTCTGAACAACAAAAGCACTACAAAACACTTCATTTATTAGGATGATTTCTCTTTTCTGTTATTTTCTCCCATTAACTTTTATTATGGAAACCATTACAGTCAGTCTGTCTGTCAGCAAGAAACCCGTTTTACATAATTTATCATAATTTCCATTCAGTCACATGATGCTGATCATTCCTGAGTGTTTAGTCCAAGTAGATGACAGCTGCCACCATCATCATAAACAGTCGCTTCATGTGATGCTTTGGAGGAAAGAACGACCCAATCCCAATGTCTACACTCTCAGACTCACAGACTTTAAGGCACGTTCCTGATAAGCCCATGAGGGCTTAGGGCTGTCCCACTGTCAAATCGTTCAGTGTGCGAGGGCTCTCTTGTCGACATTTTGAGCCCCTTTTGCACCCTTTTCGTAAGTCTGCATTTCTGCAGACATTCGCGCATGGGCGTGTCAAAATGGCTCGCTAATACCCACGACAGAGCAGCCCACATGTGTATGAAATTTCTATGGTACGTGTATCATGTCCAGACCATGTCCCTTTTGGATTTAATGGTCATGTTTGATTCGATTTGATGTTTTGGTTTGATTTACACACTTTGAACTTTAACAAACTCCTCATAGGGAATTTGCCCGATCGACTTCATATTTTCAATGTGCAGTCTAAACCCATTGACGATTAAAAGTTGTACAAACGGCAAGTTTTTGTGGAATGGCGTGCCCATGGCGTGGAAACCAAATTCGATTATTGACCAAGAAACAGGAAGTTGTAACTTCAGTGTACATGCTCACATCTGCACCAAACTTTAGATGTTTGATAACAGTCCCGCCCTGAATACATCCATATGGCAACATTCTGGAATAGCCAGCAGGAGCCGACTCCCCTGGTTGCACAAAGAAGTCCAGTTCCATTAGAAGTAATGGTAAAATGAGGCTACTTTGTTAACGTGATTTACAGATGCACCTAGCTAAGCAAGTTAGCTCCAAACAGAGTCGTTGGTTCCACAGTCATGTCTGGTGGCGCTGGTTGCAAAAAATCAATATGGCGGTGCCCTAACGGCCAAACTCGAGGCTTCAAAGCAGCAGTCCACAAACCAACGGGTGACGTCATGATGACTACGTCCACTTCTTTAATACAGTCTATGGCTGTGCTTAAATACTTTTAAACGGAAATGGGATGTGTTCGAGGTTCCTGAATCTAGTTTTAAAAACTTCATATTGTTACAATATGTTCAGTGAGTCAAGACTATCATTCTTTCTTGCTGATTATTTTTGAAACATGATTGTGATAAAATGTAATGTAACTCAAATATGATCAAGAATCATCTCTCTCCAGACTCGTCCCCCAGCAGCAGTAGCACTCCTGTTTCTGGCTGTAGTTCTCCTAATGACAGTCTGCCCAATGAGAATGGGCTACTGCCATCTGCAGGTGGCCTCTCACATGAGGTTAGCAAAGACACTCACGCACACATACACAAGCGCACACGCACACACTGGCTAGTAATTTCAGAATACTATAAGTAAAACCAACTAAAACATCAGTTGACAAAACAGCAACTACAACCATGTTTGCACACCATACCAGTCATCATGTGTATATGAAGTTGGATAGATAACGGAAAATTATTAAAGACTAAAGATAAAAGGAAATTCTTATGTTTTGTAATTCAGACAGGCTCTTTTGTCTTAGTGATGGAAAAACATGTTAAACAAGTAAGCACACAGTTTGATTTTTTTAAAAACAGTGGTTTCATGTACATGAGCTGTGCTGAGACGCTGATTAATGACATGTTTAAAGCAATGACACAAGCAGTGTTTGTCAGCTGTTTATACATAATTAATTTAATCACATAAAGTCAGCCTCTGTCACACCTGCTATGGATGTCTGACTTATGATTCCCCAGTCCCATGACAGCTCAGGCCAAAACACTAGTGAAGGCATAATTAAACTGCATTGGTTTAGATTTTTTAAACACTGACATTTGGTCACTACAGCAGAAAATATTAAAAGCATATAGCAAATACAAATTCTGTTTATATAGCAGAGCAGAGATCAAGGAGGGGTCTTATGAAATACATAACATTGGTCTTCAATGTTAAATGGGATTTCTCTTATCCCCCATAAACTGCTGTTTGTAGTAGGAAAAGTGTATTATTATAAATACAATTCAGTTCCAATAGAAATGTATTGTTTTTAACAGTAATTATTTTTCCCAGGCCCAGAAGCTGCTGCTTAGAGATGGCACTCTAGCCAACTTCACCATCCAGAGTCCCTCCACTCTGCCCACCATCACTCTGGGACTACCAGCCAACGTCAGGGTAAACACTGAACTGCAACAAATGTCTGTTGTAACAACTCATTATTGTTCTTTATTCTTAAATCGAGTGTTTTCCCTGAAACACATGAGAAAAGTGTTTGGGTCTTTTACAAATGTTAACTAGTGTTTTGATATTTTGACCAGACTCACACAGTGATCTGCTTTATTTAAGACACATTCATAAATATAGGTTTTCTACTATAAAGGAATCTGATTCTGTTCACAGATGTTGTTTGATGTTTTATAGACTCGGTGGCTAGCCTAAATGACTTAAGGAGGTGTGTCTTAAGATGCAGTGACTGTATAGTACAGTCTGTACAGTGTAAAAGTTAACTTATATAGCTCACATAACTTAAAACACTCACACAACATAACACTTGAAACTTCAAAACTCCATTGAAATAAATGAATGAAATCTACCCTCCCTAATATCCTGTTTTAAACAGGAAGTACATCAATTAAACAGCTTTATAGCCACAGATAACATGCTATCTGACGTTTTATCACTGCTGAATTTATGGGCCAACATAGAATAAGATGAATATATTTCAGTAGGCTATGTGATAAGAAAAGTACCATGTACCATGGTTTGGGTAACTGTCTGTGTGCAGGCTGAGGAGCTGTCTTCTCCTAAGGTCGGCCGGGTACCAGTGGTTACAGCTGGGGGCTCGCCGGTCTTCCTCCCTCTGAACAGAGAGGATCAGGCTGGGCAGCTGAACCCTCACCTGCCTGTCATCATCCTGGAGCCCTCTGGACTGGTACCCACTCCGCTACTCACAGGTGAGACACACAAAAACTGCCACATAAACATATATAGAAATGTACATGCGTATACCCACTCAGTATATTTGCACACATGCACAATTTAGTATGTTGAAACACTGATAAGGAATTCCTAATTTTACATACATGTTCTGTAACTGATTCACATCTCAGACTACTATTGTATGCACATGAAAAAATGCACAAGGCTGCAAAATACATATATCCAGGATGTAACAAATGGACCTGTATACCTTCATAAAATAAAGTAAGCCGTGGTTTCACGGTCTTTTAAATGTATTGTCTGAAATGTAGACCACCATCTAGTGGTTACATTTATAATAATTTTTTTATATTGAATGGCAAGTGAATTGCTTTGGCATTGTTATACAGTATTTAGACTCCTTTAATCCAAATCCACCTGTGCTCTTCAATTTCTCTCAGTTCAGTGGCTATACTATTATGTCAAAGCAGCACATAAAACAGTCTTACATGTGTATTAACAATTGGAAATAAACGACATTGCAAGGTAAAATAAATTATAAGATTTTAAAAAATATATATTCAGTCAAAGGGGAACTTTAACATTGTAGTAGCTATTGTGTGTTTATTTGTGTTTGAGAAATAATAATTAATAATAATAATTTCTGCACCTTGTCTCTATCTCTGATCAGTTCCAGGCCTAGACCCTGTCCCACTACAGTTTGCCCCCCAGATAGATCTCCTGGCTCCAGGAGGCGTTCAGCCCCACAAGCCCCTGAGCAGAACACGCTCGGAGCCCCTCCCCCAGAGCCCGCGGACCCTTCATACACATCTCCTACAACAACAGCACAACACACAAGTACTGGAGAGGCTAAAACAGCAAACTCACCTGGGCAAGGTATAGAGAATGAAGGCACTCATCTGTATTCAGGAAAAAATATCCCTAAAATTGATATTTTTCCCGAGGGACATTTGTTTTTGCAGTCAATACATATTCAACTCAGATACATAAAGGGTTGGAAATTAACACCCGCCAAGTGCCAAATGCGGGTAGATTTTCCGTTTGGCAACTTAATGTTGGAAGGCTACCCGCCACATTGGCGGGTATATGTATTTGGGATGATATTGCCATATAATATCTATCTGATGGTAATTAACTGCAGCGTTCCTGTTTGTTGTGTGTCGCACTTTAATTGGTCCCCGCTGTACCCAGGGATCTAAAATCGTGTAACACACGGATTAGGGGGGTTCTTTCATTGGTTGTTGTTTATGTACGTTTAATGTTACTTGTGTTTGATTGGCGTAGATTTGTAAAGGGGGAATAGGAGTCCGAAGGGAAAGAGGGGAGAGTCAATGCTGACAAGTACAAGCAGGTACTTATTCATCATGCAATACCATTAGGGAGGCATCTGATTGGCCCCAAATTTAATCTGCAGCATGACAAACATAAAGCGAAAGTCATTAAGAGCCTTAAGAAGAGCAAGGATTCCTGGAAGTCGTAGTATGGCCCCCACAGAGCCCTGATCTCAACATCATCGAGTCTGTCTGGGATAACATAAAGAGAAAGAAGCAACTCAGGCTGCCTAAGTCCACAAAAGAACTGTGGATAGTTCCCCAAGATGTTTGGGTCAGCCTACCTGCCAGGTTTCTTCAAAAACTAGGCTATGTGCAAGTGAAGAATTAATGCTGTTTTGAAGGCATTTGCATTTTTAAACTGATAAATATTATCTATTAACATGTCTATTTTTGAAAGCGTTCTTACTTTACAGTATTGTTTCCACACCTGGTGGGGGTCTAGCTGTGGTCTGGCGGGTGATAAAATTTTCCAGGCATTTCATGACTATTGGAGTGAGCAGCCTGTTGGTGGTGGCTAGGTTCTGATGGATAGGGTGTCTTGAAAGATGGAGTGGAGGGTGGTTGAGAGCTCAATGACAGGGCTTGAGTAATCTTGCTTGGATGCCATGTGGCTCTGGGGCATTGCCAGGTTGGCACCTGCCCAGCAACTGCCGGACATCCTCCAGTGTGAAGGGGGGATGTGTAGGCTCATGAAAGGGGAGGGCTCTCAGCACCTTCTCACAGGCAGAAGAATGGCATGGATGTCGAACCATGTATAGAAAGTGTTTAGAGTGTCACCAAAGGTGGTGGAATGGTCTTGTCTTGATTCACAAGCAGTTATGGTTTTCACAGCTCGTTTTGTGTTCATATAGCTAAACTCCTCCGATCTGTCCTTAAATTTGAGTTTGGCCTTGATATCATTCTTAAATTGTCGGTTGATTGTTAAGGGAAGCCCATTGCCAGCACTGAAATGCCTTCTGTTTTTCTCTCAGGCTGTGCTTAATATGGTGGTGATAGTGAAAATCTATTAAGTCTGTCTCTTGGTCATTTGTACGTATACATAAATTTAATTATCAATCAATAACACACTATACAGGTGTATTGATACAGGAGGCCAATATGTCAGAAAAATTCATTGACGTTAGCTGCCTTTGCTCATACTAGCCTTTCAAGAGAACAGCTTATTATGACATTAACTTGACAAGAACTTTCTAGAGATTCTTGTTCTGTTCCGTCTTCAGAAGCAGGAGCGATTTTAGACCATTTTTAGGGGTGCTGAAGCACACCTAAATTTCATCTTAGCACAACTAAAAAATAATACAATAAATCATTATTATTTTCTGAAAAAAAAATTTTGTCCTCTAATGTTAGATTTTGGAGAAGTAAGAGAAGGGACAATCACTTAACCTACTGTGTCATATGGCTTTTCTTACATTAAATGGGTTTAATGTCCCTAAATACTTCTAATGTTTTACCTAATAATCCGCGACCGCGCTGGCCGACCGGTCAGCTGCAGCGGAACAGTTTGTGTGTCTGTCAGTCTGGGCCAAACCAATACTTTCAATATTGAGGGGGGATACAAGCGGCCCCTCTCAACTTGGACTGATCCTCATTTTTGATGAATTCTGATTGGCTCAACGGCACCGATCAGAGGAGTTTACTTTCCATCTGGGGCGAGTTCAATCCAAAACCGTTGGCACCGATTTGCTAAGTTTTGTCAGGGCTGAACTCAGCCCAGGGTTGTGTGACAAGTGCATCAGAGAAGGGGGCAAAAGAACGTCTATCTCCATTCATCCTTTTACTTTACTTTAGCTTGCTGGTTAACAGCTGACTTGAATAACATCAGGTTCAGTGCAGCTGACCTGCTGCCCAGTCGCGCATTCACGCCAAGGATGGTGCATTCAGTAACTCGTACCGCAGCGTTACTTGGATTAGTAACTGTAATAAGGTTTTGGAAATAGTAATCCGTTACACTACTAGTTACTGGGAAAATGGGTAAATGTAAAATGAGAAAAGTAATATTTTTACAGTTCCTGCCCAACAATGCTAACTGTAGCCTAGCTATGAAATTAGTTTTAATTTAATGTTAGAATATTATACTAATAGAAATAATTTATACTTCACAGATTCTGTGCAACCAAATAAAGATTTTTTTAAACAATTAAATAATACTGACAAATTAAACTCAATCAGCAATAGAAAACGACTTCCTTAAAAGAGAAAGCAAGCATGTAACTAGATTTAACTGAAAACACAAGACTTAACTTAGGGAAACACTTTTAACAACCTCCCTCCTCCGAGGGAGCACACAGCTTCACATTGTGGTCTGACCCTAACTGGTCCACTGACTCCATAGGGGTCATTTACAATAATGATTTGAATCTAATTTGAATTGAATTGAATTATAGTTTTCCCTCATATAAAAAAAAGACATTTCCACCGTAAATTGGAGCAGAAAATGTCTCTAGAATGCCGGAAATTACGAGTTTAATGCTCAAAATCTTCCCCGCCTTTCGCCCGATGTTAGCTGGGATTGGCTCCAGCCCCCGCCAACCCTGTACGCAGGATAAGCGGTTGACGATGGATGGATGGATATTTAATCCATATAGTGCTAAAAATCTTATTGTCTTGGTTCTTATTGTTCTGGTGTATCGTCACGTCTCTTGACCCAAATGTATCATCACGCCCCTAATCTGAGCCCTTATGTTCCCACCACTTTTCAACATAAAGTGACACTCTTGACTGACCCGCTCCGCTCTGCACCAGCTCCTTTCTAGTAGGCCTACTTATTCTCTCCACCAATTAGTGAACACTTTTGAAAGGTATTGTATGGATGCTACATTCTCATTAGGGGCTGAGAACCCCCCTAAAGGTCTGATCCTAGAATCGCCCTATTCAAAAGGAGAACCACGACACTCTCAAGGCTGCAATCTTGGATGTGGAAATTACAGTATAATATTTCAATAAAAGTAATCTTCCTATCTTCCTCCAGCAATGGGAAGAAGATAGTTTTTGCAGTGTGTGTTGATATTTGTAATCCCAAATTAGTTGATGTTGGCGTCTTCCAAAAATTCCACATTTCCACAATCATTACACATTTCCTTCCCACTCAGCACCTCATATTTTCACTCATATCATGCTCTCCTGTGATGTTTCCATTTTTGAGTCTACAGTCTTGCACCATAATTTCTTCATTTGAATGAACAAGTGCAAACACACATGTGTATGTGTATTTTTGTCAACTTAAATGTATGTGTATGTGCAGCTGATGTCTAAGTCCAGCGAGAAGCCCAGACTGCATCAGATCCCCTCTGAGGAAATGGACTCAGAGGATGGTGGCAGGATGTCGCCCACAGAGCCAACCTATCAGGGCAGAGTGAGGTCGATGAGGGAGGCGGGACCCACAGCATCCAAGAGCCACAAAGAGCAAATGAACCTGGAACATGCACTCATACTCAACCAGGTTGGAAAACATAGCATACTTTCACATGTGAGCCACACACACACACACACACACACACACACACACACACAGCAGGTAGATAGAGGGAATAAAACCACAAAACTGCTCTTTAACCAACAGTCCTGTAGATGGCGACCTAACTATTGAACTTGCATGATTCTAGTTGCCCTTGCATAGTTCTGTGGTTTGACAGCTATTCATTAAAGTGGTTACTTTAGCAGTGTATGTCATGTACCGTAAGCTAAGATAATACTCTTTCAGAAAATGTGTCAGTAGCTGATCAGACAAACAAGAATTTTACAATAACAAAAAAAGCAGATCAATTCAGTATTGAAGAAATATATTTTGATGTTTTCAAGGTTAGGTGTAGGAAACCGGATTTAATGCTTTTAGTAACCAGTCTGTAAAGGAAAATCAGAGTCAAAAATTACTTCCAGATTCAAAGCAGTTAATATGATTTTGAGAGATCACCAATTTGTCTTGATGGGACAGGTCAGATCAGAGGAGCCAAAAAAACCAAGATTTTATTGATTGATTATTATTAGATTGGAGGAAGTTCTATGACTTTCAGCACTAAATATTAGCCTAGAATACAAATCACTTATGGAGCTTTCGAGGGATGTACAGCTGCACACCATGTGTAGCAATGGAAGTGAATGTTATGAGCATCAATATGCTTAAGCCTAGTGTTTAGAATTAAGACCCTGTGCTTTCGAAGGTTTCTGTTCTACACTGTCCTTTCAAACACTTAACTTTGTCTTTTATATTTATGATATTTACTTTGAATTATATGTATGATTTGACTATTTCATCTTTATCACCTTTCTCTTTCTTTAGTCATTGCTATGGGAACAGCAGAAGCAGCTGCAACAGCTGCATCGACAGATGGAGAACCTGGCAGTACCCATGTTACGCGGCAGCGGCAGGGTTGGTAGTGGGATAGGTGTCCATCGCCCCCTGTCACGTACACAGTCATCGCCAGCCTCTACCTCTCTCACTCTGCCTGAGAAACCCCTAAGTCTTGCCGCACAGGATACCAGCAGCAAACCACGCTTTACCACTGGTGAGACATGCTTATATAGTATTATAATAGGTATGTATAATAATTTTCTTAATGATATTTCAAATACTGGGTGCCCCATGGCTTTGGGCAGTGGTCAGCAATAGGCGGCCCACAGGTCAGAACCGGCCCACCAGCAATTATATCTGGCCTGTGGCCAGATTGCTTTGATAGCAGAAAAATAAAGAAATATATAAATTGATAGTGGCTGGTGCTGAAATAGATCTCAGTCATGACAGATACAGTTACTCACACAATCACTTCTTCTTAAGTGATTGTGCCATCAAAATAAAAGCGCAATAACTTTTTTGCAGCAATGCTTAATGACAAGTTTATTGAGAGCTTTTACTTTGAAGAGTTCTGAACGACATTCAAAAGAGACTCTGGCTTGCTTGACACACCTCTGAAAAAGCCATCAGTAAACGTGTGATTGGATTTCACTGATTTTCCTCAGGGAAATAAAAAAAGCGTTCATAGGTTTATGAATGTGGATCAAACGCTAGGGGCGCGCACAAACTGCAGCACATGCTTTATTGTGAGCTTGTGCAAAAGTGTCCTTATAATCAATTTGTTTAACAATGGAGAAAAAAATATCCACCGTTAGTTGTAAGATCGATTCCAACTAACTGCGGATATTTTTTTCTCACTTTTCTCTCCAACGTGTACATGTAACGGCCTTAATTTAATTTGGCCTGTTGCCCGACTCATTTGCCGACCCCTGGCTTAGGAGTTAAGTTGCAACATCCCAGGTTCCATCCAAGGACTTTTGTTGCATGTTGCCCATCTCTCTCCTCAATTGCCAGTCATGTCTCTACTACTGTTTAAATGGTATAACATGCCTCTCACAAATAATAAAAATAACAATAAAAGAACCACATTGGATTTTATATAATTCCCAGCATCTAGTACTGTTCACTGGCATGCACAGGTAAATGTCACAGTTACAAGTGAAGGAAATTAAAAATCTCATGAACAAACCAACATGAAAAAGCTCTGCACCTCAGAAGGGGAAATTTGCAGTTTAAATAAAATAGCAATTTCAAAGCTTGACTGACAATGTAGTTTATAATTATATTTGGAAGCTTTGACTCAGATTGTGGATCAATCAAACTACAGTTGTCCTTGGGATCATATGAATTAATTAATTACTTAGAGAACTCTTCAGGTGTTAAAACATGTTTTAGCTAGTGGTATCTCAATGAGTGTTTGAACCCCTAACACTGCAAGCACTGGTTGACTTGTGCTCCTCATCTGGGAAAGTTAAAGAAGTGTTTTATTCCCTGTCAATCAGGAGTCATTCTGGTAGTCACTAATTAACTGCTAATGTCTGATGTAAAAACTAGCCTAATGCAACATGTAAACCTAATGTTTCTGATACAAAAGTCGAAGTGGCAAAGTCTGAGAACAGGAAGTGAAGCTTCCGCCAGATCCTCAAATATGTAAAAATTTTAATATATGAATTATGATGCATCTCGAGTAAACACTGAGAAAAATGGTCAAGGGTCAGCATTATCAGTTCTCTTTTGGCTCGTAGTGTGAGCTGTACACTGACATCAACAAATGTCTCCTCTGGGATAAATAAAGTATTTCTGATTCTGTTGTGCAAAATGTTGAGATCAATTCTGTTCTTTTGTGTGTGTGTGTGTGTGTATGTGTGTGTGTGTGTGTGCATGTATGCAGGCCTGGTATATGATTCTCAGATGCTGAAGCACCAGTGTACATGTGGAGACAACAGCAGTCACCCAGAACATGCTGGGAGGATTCAGAGCATCTGGTCCCGACTACAGGAGAGAGGCCTGAGGGGACAGTGTGAGGTATGACATGGCACACACACACACACACATACAGACAAACACTGATCTGGCAAGTCTGGTATCAGTAAAGTTCTTGAGGATGTGCAAATTTACCTAGAGACTGATATTGTCTTCTTATTTCTCCTCTGTGATCACATCTCATCTAAGTGGTCACACTGAGTAGAACTTTTAAACCTGATCTAACCTACAAAATTTGTTTTATCTGTCTGTCAGAAAATAGAAAGGTTGTTTCCAGAATCTGGCATTCTCACTGTTTAATATTCATAATCATTACATATTATACATTTTCCATGTGCATGTGATTCCTTAGGTAATGTCATATTCTTAGTCTGCAGGACTACACAATTGAGGTGTATTGTCTCTTTCTAGTATTGAGATGAGAGGAGAAAGTCAAGTGAAAATGTTCTGTTCATACAGACTATCCGTGGTCGTAAAGCCACTCTGGAGGAGCTGCAGTCAGTCCATACTGAGCGCCATGTGTTGCTCTATGGCACCAACCCGCTCAACAGGCTCAAACTGGATAACCGCAAACTTGCTGGTATGCTACATCTCAAACTGATATAAAATATTCTTAATTCCGAGCCACATTATGTAATTTCAAAACAATTTCAAGTGATTTAACAGTAAAAATCAAAGACTTTTCTTTGTAGAGTAAATTTGAGTCCCAGATATCCAGGTCTTCTCAATAACAGAACTAAAGCTATATCAAAAACTTTACAAGTCTGTTTTACAGTTCCGGCAAAAAAATCATATGATTGGCCTTGAACTACATTAATTGAATTAAAAAGAAATTACAAACATGATGGTGCTACAAAGCATACTGGATGTATCATTACAAATAGTTTTCTCATACCACAAATACTCGGTGGATTATGTCAGGTCAGCATATGGCTTATCTTAGCCATTTTGGCATAAAATAATTATCTTATGTAATTGTATAAATGTATAAATTAACAGTATTTTTGTTATGTTTCTGTTTTCTCAGGAATTCTATCTCAAAGGATGTTTGTGATGTTACCATGTGGAGGTGTAGGGGTAAGAGAAAACACACACCCACACACACACAAAACTCATCATTTCATCATACTGTAAGGTATTAATGAAAGCTATAAAATACAACATAACCACTATGAAGGACAATTTTGTTTTGAATAAAGTCAAGGGAGAGAAAATTACAAGAAACAAAAGGATTTTAAAGAGAAAACAAGAGTTGGCTTGGCCCAATGCTGACATTTTCCTGACTGTCCGTGTTGAACCATGAAAGTCAGATTAGAACATTTGACCAAGGATAAAGGAAATGCTTCCGATATCATTGTCCAAGCCAGATGGACAGTAATGCCAATTTGTGAACAAACATCACTATTGGTCTGACCTTGAAATGGGAGAGTACACCAATGACAGGGTATTCAGTCTTCTTTTATTGTCCCAGAGGGATATTAGACATAGTTAAGCTTCATACTATATTATAAATATTTCTACAATCTTTGGTTTTATTCTGTCATCCTGTAATTTGTCAATTGGCAGGTTGATAATGACACCACCTGGAATGAGTCACACACCTCTACGGCATCACGCATGGCAGCAGGCAGTGTTGTTGAGTTGGCCTTCAGAGTGGCTAAAGGAGAACTAAAGGTGAGAAACTAAATCTCGTAGTCATTCTACACTTGAGATGCAATAGTGTGATAGAGCCAGACGTCATTCTGTCACCTATTGATTAGACCTCTTAAGACGACTAGTTGGAGTAATGGTTGTGGAAACTTTAATTCCATTTCTGTTGCAATTTCTTGTTTGAGTCACCTGCTTTGCATGAAGCACTGTCTGCAACAGGGATCAAGTCATCTGTGTTTTTGATTGGATAAACTTCTGAGTGTTTTTTTTTTTTTTAAAGTCTGCAGTCTGTATCCAAGCACTTTTGATTGGCTGACTCTTTTGACCTGTGGTGCTGAGACTTTTTCAGATTTGATAAATCTGCCACATTGTCAAATATGTTGTTAATATCACTTACAGCCTGATTCAGGCCATCATAACTGTGGGGATGTAAGGTGTTTGTCAACACGACAACACGAGGTTGGTTAGCCATTACCAGTTTGTTAGTCTGGATCTTGAAGTCCCACAGGATCTTAGCTCGGTAATTCTCAACTACGTTAGAAGGTGACCTCCATTTTGACCTTGGGACTTCCAGCCCATATTTATGCAGATGTTCCTGTACACTATGCCAGCTACCTGGTAATGGCATTCCATGTACGCTGTTCCATCCTGCATCTTACACCCTGCTGTACAGTCTCAGGGGCATCCTTGCACAGTCTGCACCTGGGATCCTGCCTGGTGTGGTAGATCGCAGCCTCTATTGATCTTGTACTGAGTGCCTGTTCTTGTGCGGCCATGATTAGGGCTTCTGTACTGTCCTTTAGTCCAGCCTTTTTTAAGCCACTGGTAGGATTTCTTGATATCAGCCACTTCTTTTATCTGTATGTAGTACATGCCATGCAGCAGCTTGTCTCACCATGAAGGTTTGTCCTCTTCCTTGCCCATCCTTGGGTTTCTACTGTCTGAGGTATTCACTTTGCCCTTCATCTTTGGGGGCCAACTTCCTGATGTACTCCAGGATCTTTGTTGTTTCGTCTTGACAGTAGTCTTCACAATCACTAGTCCTTGGCCTCCGTCGCTCCGCTTAGTGTGCCGTCTCAGGGTGCTGGATTTGGGGTGACACCCTCCATGCATTGTGAGGAGCTTTCTTGTCTTGATCTCAGTGGCTTCTATTTCATCTCTTGGCCAGTTTATTATGGCAGCGGGGTATCTGATGACTGGCAGGGCATATGTGTTGATGGCTCAGATCTTATTCTTCCTATTCTGCTGACATTTCAGGACTCTGCCTTACTCTATGGAGGTATTTCGCTGTGGCGGACTTCCTTGCTGCCTCCTCATGCTTTCCGTTAGCCTGCGGCACCCCAAAGTATTTGTAGCTGTCCTGAACATCTTCAACGTTGCCTTCGGGTTGTTCAACCCCCTCTGTTCTACATTTACATTTATTCATTTAGCTGTGGCATGGTAACTTATGCTGAATGGCTTACTTGTTCCGGAGCAGGTTCTGTTCCAGATAAGAGAACTCTATAAAAACGCTGCCTACTGACCATTCAGCTCTCTTGGAAAATGACATCACCATCTGCAGGAGATCCCACAGAATGCTGCGGCGATACGGAGAAACTTTTGTAGGCTATAGTTTGTTAGGTTAGTAGCTAGATATGGCCGCAGGTAATGAGGTGAGTTTTTACTAGCCTAAATGTTGCGATTCAGTCTTTCAACCACTATTTGAGCACATTTTATGGCATGAATTAATTTTTCGTTTCATTGCCTTATGAAGTTTTAGAACAATGTTTGGAACAGTTTTGAGTGTATTAAATAAATTAATCTCATTTTTGAATTTTTTTTAAAGTGAGGTGGAACGACCACTTATTCAGTGCCCAAGTCTTTTAATGTGGATATGACGACACACAGCCGAGCTGAAAGAATAAGAGAAGAATATGATATTATCATACAGCTCATAAGAACGCATCAAATCAAAGCGTTATTATAGACTACGCCTGTTCATTTAGGCATTTAGGCACCGTCTGTGATTTTCGGTCTCCCTGCATTTGTCAGATGCAGGCATGCTACATAACTAGACCATGTCGTATTTCTGTAGTGTTACAGTTTGCTCTTCATTTGTAAAAATATGCAGCTCTGCTGACGGTGGACTTGGGCCTGGATTGGGAAACCCTGGGTTGGCTTACATTACATTTATTCATTTAGCTGACGCTTTTATCCAAAGCGACTTACAATTGCTAAATATGTCAGAGGTCGCACGCCTCTGGAGCAACTAGGGGTTAAGTGTCTTGCTCAGGGACACATTGGTTGATGTGTCAAAGTGGGGAGTTGAACCCTAGTCTCCCACAACAAAGGAATGCATCTTATCCACTGCACCATCACCACCCCATTGTTTTCCCTCTTTTTGATACCATCTGACCACACTTGTCCGGTCCGAATGACATTCTAATGATGTTGCTGTAGATCCTGGTAAATGGATCAGTGAGTCGATGTCTCTCTCATTCCTGGCATACAACTTGATGTCATCCATTCAGAGGAGGTGACTGATGGTTGTTCCACTTCGGAACCGGTATCCGTAGCCAGTCTTGATGATGTTGATGTGATGATCTGGCTGAGGGGGTTCAGGCCTATGCAGAACAGCAGCGGGGATAGTGCATCGTCTTGGTATATGCCGCACTTGATGGTGACTTGTGCAATTGGCTTTGAGTTGCCTTCCAGACTTGTTTTCCACAGCCCCATTGAGTTCTTGATGAAGGCTATTAGTGTCCTGTTGATCTTGTACATTTCCAAGCATTCCAGTATCCATGTATGTGGCATTGAGTCGTAGGCTTTCTTGATGTCAGTCCAGGTGGTGCACAGGTTGATCTGCCAGATCATACAGTCTTGAGTGACGAGTAGCTGGTGCTTGGCTCCCCTATTCCCTTCTGGGCCCTGTCCATGTATTGAGCCATGTGCTACTCATCTTAGCTGCTCTGATGCCTTAAAAGGGCTTCCATGTTGTGCAGAGGCAGGTTATTGGCCTGTAGTTGGATGGGATTGTTCCCTTCAGGGATCCTTCATGATCATGACTGACTGTCCTTGGGTTAACCATTCTGGGTGGGTTTGTTCATTTGTGCTGCCAGACATTGCAGCTAATAAGTGTGGATCATTCAGGGCCTGGTGCTGTCCAGCTCTTCATACCTGACATTCTTTCTTGGATGTCTGCCATTGTAATGGTTAGTGGATGTTGTTTTGGGAGGTTGCTGTGATCTGTTCTTAGATTCACTAGCCACCGAGCATTGGTGTTGTGTGATGCCTCCCTCTCCCATATGTTCTTCCACTATTCAGTCTCAGCCCTGGGTGGATCTGAATTATTATTATTATCTTATTATTGTTATTACCCTGCCACTGAGAGTATACTTTTGATGGAGATTTGGTGGAGAACATCCAGTTTATTCTCCTGGCTTCTGCTTCTCCCTTGTCTCTCTTTAGATGGGTAGCCAGAGCAGCAAGTTTTTGTTTGGCAGTCTCCAGTGCCTCAGGTATAGCTTGTTATATTTGTTAGGTAGCCCCTTCCCTGCCCCTTTGTGTAACTCTGAGAGTTGACTAACTTGGTAATATTTAATTAACTGTTTTACCAGATGCCACTGCCAAGAAAAGACTGGTCACCATAGGCAGAATGTTAATTATGACCCTGCAGTAAGAGCGGATTCGCTAAAAGACGCAAAAATTGTTCTATCTCAAAAGAAGCAACATGTTGCTATTGTGCATGCTTTCATCTCCTAGGAGGAAATACATTTTTTGAGAACATGTTGGTGAACATGTTGTTTTGTGAATATGTTGGTGTAGCAACCCGTCCTCATAAGAGAACGGCTGTTTAGGTTTTATTATGATTTATTACGATTTATTATGCTGCGTTTAGGTCGATTTATTATGCTATTATGCTGCACATTTACATTTTAGTGACCTTGTTGGCTATGTCAAACCCAGGACTTTCACTCAGGAGTCCCCTGTGAAACCAAGTAAATGCAGTTATTTTCAGTTTTAGGCTAACATACATAACTACCTTAGCCTTAACAAAATGTAGCAAAGCATTTATTTCAATGGAATGGTGGTGCCTTGAACATCCTATTGCGTACACGAGTGCACTGGACATTTACTATCTTTTAAATATGGTTGCTGATTGGGTACAACACTGACACACCCACTAAATGAGAAAAAACATACTTGCATTTAACACCACATGCCTGCAGTTAATGAAAATAGATAAATTCTATTGTCAAGTTAAATGTCTGTTCAAAACAAAGCCGTGAATGTGTACTGCACTAAAATAAATGTTTGTAATGAGATTTTCATAAAATAAAATGTTTATGAAATGTTTGTGTTCATGGTAATTCTGTTAAATATCAATAACATCTGGTTTAAATATATTTTTGTATAGAATGTTTTGTTTATTGATCTCTTTAAATATGTATTTTTAATGATATGCGGTCTTCTTGTCATCTGGAGCGAACACTCATCATGTTGTGCGGCCAATAATAGCAATAACTGTATTAAATTAAAAAAAATATCTAATTTCCAATGACTGAAATATTAATTACTGATACAGTATGCTTAAGTGAATGGTATTTTTTAAACATTTAAACATTTTTTTTATGAATTTTATGTGATTTACAGAAAAAAAATCAATTAACTACATTTAAGAAGGGGACTGTGACATTGTAGAACAAAAAATATGACATTATTATTTACAAAAACCCAAAAGAAAAGCAAATACATTGTATCTAAAATCTTTATATTATAGAGAACTTATTAAGCATGTTAAGGAAATTTATTCATTTTAAAATAAATTATGGTCGCACCACATGATATTTATAAGGCCACAGACAGTTAAAAAAAACACTAAAATCACTTGATTTAAAGAAAATATTTAGTTAGTTTTAAATGTTGACAGTAATTTATGTGTGCCAGAACTGTTATATTTATGTACATTATAAAAGCCCATGAAATTTAAAGATTGTACGTTCTTAACAGTGCACTTAAAGTACTTCATATCCAGTGAAACACTGATTAATAGTGTCATCTTCTTCTGCACAGAATGGCTTTGCTGTGGTCAGACCGCCAGGGCATCACGCAGACCCCTCCAATCCAATGTAAGTATGTTTATGTATTTGTGCATGGATCAGTCACTTCCTCAACTTGACCACATGCATTGTCAGCAGCTTCTCTGTGGAGGATATTTATGAAAAGACAGAGAGAAGACAAAGGGACAAAATAAGGGAAATTAGTCCGTGTGTGTCACTCAGATGTGTCCTTTAATCAAAAGGTTATGTTATATGAAAACATTCTCTTCCCACTGTAACATCCACGGGTGACCTGTTGGTGGAGCTGTTGTAGTCTGTGTGTAATGATGCCATACCTTTTGAGTTTTGCTGAGTAGTTTATTCTAGCACTTTTGACTGAAGACTACACATACAGTAAGTTCAGCGATTGTATATTATGTTGTTTTCTTTCCTGCGATGGACTGGACCTGTCCAGGGTGTACCCCGCCTTTCGCCCAATGTCAGCTGGGATTGGCTCCAGCTCCCCGCGACCCTGTACGCAGGATAAGCGGTTGACAATGGATGGATGGATGGATGGATTTTTTTATACAGATTGTTGGACTACTCATCTTCTTCTCATTTATTCTCAGCACAGTCCTTTACAGCTACTGTACTGTTAATAACCATTTTAAACTACAGGCATATAGTACAGTACATACAGTAGCGGATACTTTAATCAGGAATAGGTGGGTGCAACATTAAAAAAAAGATGACTACAGACACTCCTATTTGACTATCCATCCATCCATCCATCTTCATCCGCTTATCCGGGATCGGGTAAACTTCTCTTTCCCGAGCCACATTAACCAGCTCTGACTGGGGGATCCCAAGGCGTTCCCAGGCCAGTGTGGAGATATAATCTCTCCACCTAGTCCTGGGTCTTCCCCGAGGCCTCCTCCCAGCTGACTATGCATCAATTATTCAACAATTGAGTGAAATAAATAAGCGCTAAAAGAGACATGTTTTTTCTTCTCAGTTAAAGTCTTTACATTATTCAAAACTGTCTTTAAACTTTTATCTCTGTCTATCAGGGGTTTCTGTTACTTCAATTCTGTGGCCATAGCTGCCAGGCAACTGCAACACAAGCTCAGTGTCAGCAAGATCCTCATTGTTGACTGGGTAAGATGGAGAATTCTGGCCTCATGCTGGTGTTTTTACTATTATATCGTATGTACTTGAGCATTTCTGTGATACTCAATAGTGAATGTATCTCCTTTGGTATTGCAATGTATAATATTAATATGTCTTCCATCATCCTGTTGCTAGGATGTTCACCATGGTAATGGCACCCAGGAAGTGTTCTACAGCGACCCCAGCGTTCTCTACATCTCGCTTCACCGCTATGATGATGGAAACTTCTTCCCTGGCAGTGGGTCGCCAGCTGAGGTGGGTGACTCCAGGCACATTGAAGCCCATTATATATACAAATTGCATATATTTTTATAAAATAATAGCACTGCATGAATGAAATGCAACATATTTTTGGGGTTTAGGTTGGTTCTGGAGCAGGTGAGGGCTTCAATGTGAATGTGGCGTGGACAGGAGGACTGGACCCACCCATGGGAGATGCTGAGTACCTCGCTGCATTCAGGTAGAACTAACTACTTCTCTGTTTAAAAACTGCAACACAAGCGTACAGGACAGAGATACAGATGGATGACATATTAAAGGAAAATCAACATTATGTTTTGAGTTTCTAAGGGTGTACTCACACTAGTCGATCTGTACCGTGCACGTTTATCCCCCAAAGTCCGGTTCGTTTTACCAGTCGATATTGACTTCCAGCTATGTACAGTGTGCTTACCTTGACAACCCAGCTGTGATCTGAGGTTAACATAGCTCTCCTTATTAGCTAGGCTCCATACATGCTTACTAATAACTTTTTTTAAGCTGGGTCTCCAACATTGACAATTGTGTTGGACAGATTTGTGCACCGGTGTTCATGAGAGAGAGAGGGAGAGAGGGAGACAAGGAGACAAGGTATCAGAAACAGAATCAGAAGGAGTTTTATTGCCAAGTAGTGTTTTACACATATAAGGAATTTGCTGTGGTGATAAGGTGTTACACATAGACAAACATACAGTCAACATAAATAAATGTAGAAATATATAAATATGGAATGGAAGAACAACGTTGCAGATATATACATGTGCATTATTCTGGGTCTGTGCCGTGCAGAAGTAACGCAACGGAAGAGAATATTGTGTACATATAAATATATAAACTAGAAAGCATAAAAATATACAACAACAAAGATCAACAATCAACAACAAATACGTGCGACATGCCAGTTGACACGACATGAAACAGTATTTACATGTGCAGGGACATTTGTATCATTTGCAAGGGGGGAGTGTCAGTGGGGGACCCGGGGCTTGTTAATGAGGCTAGCTGCAGACGGGAAGAAGCTGTTTTTGTGGTGAGAGGTTTTGGTCCTCCTGCCAGAGGGGAGAGTCTGAAACAGTTTGTGTCCGGGGTGGGAGGGGTCAGCTGCAATATTTCCTGCTCCCCTCAGAGTCCTCAAGGCTTACAGGTCCAGAAGAGAAGGAAGATTGCAGCCAATCACCTTCTCTGCAGAGCGAATCATACGCTGCAGCCTGCCCTTGTCCCTGGCAGTGGCAGCAGCGTACCAGATGGTGATGGAGGAGGTGAGGATGGACTCAATGATGGCGGTGTAGAAGTGCACCATCATTGTCTTTGGCAGGCTGAACTTCTTCAGCTGCCGCAGGAAGTACATCCTCTGCTGGGCCTTCTTGGTGAGGGAGGTGATGTTCAGCTCCCACTTGAGGTCCTGGGAGATGATGGTGCCCAGGAAGCGGAAGGAGTCCACAGTGGTGACTGGGGAGTCACACAGGATGAAGGGGGAGGGTGCGGCTGGGCTCTTCCTGAAGTCCAAGAGCATCTCTACTGTCTTCAGAGTGTTGAGCTCCAGACTGTTCTGGCCGCATCAGCTCCCACTTGAGGTCCTGGGAGATGATGGTGCCCAGGAAACTGTCTGTATTTGGGGAGTTCTTGGCTGAAATTTCCCCTGTTAAAGTCACCGAGAACAATAACAAGGGAGTCCGGGTTTGTCTGCTCTACACACAGTATCCGGTCGGCCAGCATGCAGTCTTTGGCAGGCTGAACTTCTTCAGCTGCCGCAGGAAGTACATCCTCATGCAGTCTTTGGCAGGCTGAACTTCTTCAGCTGCCGCAGGAAGTAAATCCTCTGCTGGGCCTTCTTGGTGAGGGAGGTGATGTTCAGCTCCCACTTGAGGTCCTGGGAGATGATGGTGCCCAGGAAACTGTCTGTATTTGGGTAGTTCTTGGCTGAGATTTCCCCTGTTAAAGTCACCGAGAACAATAACAAGGGAGTCCGGGTTTGTCTGCTCTACACACAGTATCCGGTCGGCCAGCATGCTCTTTGCGTCCTGAACGTTGGCGTGCGGCGAGATGTAAACACCGACCAGAGTGAATGAAGCAAACTCACAGGGGGAGTAAAACGGTTTACAGTTAATGATAAGAAATTCCAGATTAGGAGAACAGTGCTGCTGAATCACTGTCACGTCTGTACACCAGCCATTGTTAACATAAAAACAGACACCTCCACCTTTTGTTTTGCCGGAGAGTTCTGTGTCGCGGTCCGCTCTGTACAGTTAGAAGCCAGCCAGCTGCAGCGCGGAGTCTGGTATCAGCTCACACAGCCATGTCTCTGTGAAGCACAGAACAGAAGATGAATAAAAGTCTCTGTTTTTCCACACCAGAAGTTGAAGTACGTCCAGTTTGTTGCACAGTGAGCGCACGTTGGAGAGAAATATTGCTGGCAGCGGTGTGCGGAGTCCCTGCCAGGGAAGACGTACAAGCGACCCGGCTCTTTTCCCTCTCCTGCAGAGTTTCAGAGTGCGAACGACAGCGAGTCAGCCCTTCACCAAAATGTCCAATAATTCCACTGATGACGCAAGAAAAGTGGGAATTAAATCCACTGCAGTTGTTCCCCTGATGTTCATGAGCTCCTCCCTGGTGAAAGAGCACCGGGAATCACAGACGAAAACTGAATTAACACACAAAAACAAAACAAAACAAAGCGCACCTATACTCAGCGCCATCTTGGTTGCATACGCGCAGCACTCTGCAATCAACTACGATTTCAAATAGGCCTAGTAAAAAATCACACATCAATATGTGGCGGTCAGCGCTAATACTGTGGCGGGCCGCCACAAATAAATCAATGTATGGGAAACACTGACTGAGTGATGACGTAAATGTGCTCCGGCTCGGATCTATAGGCACAGTGTAAGCGCAGGCCAGCGGGGGACTGTGGAGGGGGGACAATCTTGCTCGGGCACAGTACAAAGCAACTGGGCGTAGTGTGGCTATGCCTTAAGTGTGTATGGGTCTATATTGCAGGAATGAAACCGTCCCATGTTGCTTCAAAATCTCATATTGGTGTTCATTTGTGTTGAGATCTAGACATTGCAAAAGATGATTCACATAATTTTTATATTACACATTCAGTGACCCCTTGCGTCTATTTGAAGGATCTGCATTTATTAAATCCACTCAGTTTTGCTGATTTTTCTCTTGAAATTGTTTCCCATTTGTATGTTGTGGTGTTCCCATGTTTGATAGAATTGTAGAGAAACTTTCCAGACTATTGTACACTACCGGTTGTCTAATTTAGTACATAAGAAAAGGAAATAGCTTTTTGAACTCTTTTGGGAAGTCTCATCTGAGTTTGTGAAGTTGGAGTGGAAGTGTGGATATTTTCTAGTTGTGTCTGTGATACACAACAGAAAGTCTAAATTGTCTGAATCTTGCTTCCTTATTGTTTTTTATTTTAATTTTATTTTTTCATATATATTCTACAAATTATTTATAATTTTACTGCAATTTCTTCTCATAAAGGATGGAGCAACATTTTTTCCAGATGTAAAGAACGTGAGCAATTTTTTTCTTTTTCAGCATAAAAGTTAACCCAACAAAAATTAAAAGCAGATATTTTATATTTTTATCTTTAATTCGTTTCTTGGATGTGAAATCTGATAGATTAGGCAACATTGTTTTGCCCAGGGGTGGACTTGTAATCTGGCATGCCCGGTGAGCCAACAAACCTTTGGGGCCGGTGGAACATAAATTATTTTTTTATATACCCTAACTGTTTTTAAAAAATGGTCCAACAATTAGCCCATAAAACACAGACAGTGGCCCATTGGGTTATTTAATAACTGACATTGTGGTGGCCCAATCACATCTTTTACTAGCCCCCAGTCCCTCCCCCTCTCCTCTCTGTTTCTTGTGTTGCGGGCCAAAAAAAATAAATTCTTCAGACGGCTGCCGTCAAATGCGAAAATAACCGTGTATTTGCAGTAGCTTCAACATCAGCTGCAGTACAGTGCAGACACAGGCACTTGAAGGAGTAAAGCCATGGCCACTGCCAGGTAGAGGAGGAGGTGTGAGACAGCAGAGCAGAGTGACAAAGTCACTGTGACAGGGCTGAGGGACAGAGAGAGCAGGAGTATAAGTGAAGTGATAAACATGTAGTAGCTCAACCTGTAGGGAGGGAGCAGGGAGGTGTAGGGTCATATGTATCATTTACACTGGGGATGCTGGGGACATCACTTTTTGAGAGCATTTGTTAAAAAAGTTCTGAAAAATGGCTTGCACCAAGAAATGTTAATTAACAAATAAAAATGCTATGAGAAAGATTGATTTGCACAGTAAGCCTGCAATGCAAGAAACCTCTGTGTTGTCCAAAAAAAATAAGCTACTGATTACTGCCCTATAATATTTTTATATTCTGAATTGTCACCGGTTACCTGAATTTTGTGCTTCCCTTTTATATAAATAAAAACATTTATACCATAAATTGGTGCAAAAAATGTCTCCAGAATGCAGGGCATTAAGTGTTTAATGCTAAAAATCTTTTAGGGGAGAAACCCCCAGACCCCCCAATTGTTAATATCATCAATAAATATTTATTATTTATAATAGTAGGCCTATAAAAATATATTCTTGTCTTGTTCTTATGACCCCAATCTTGTGCAATGTCACATCTCAGGGATTTTGTCCCTAATCTGAGCTCTTAAATGTCCCCACCACTTTTCAACACAAAGTGACGCCCTTGGGTAGGGTGTGTGCTATGCCGTAGTGACAATGATGATGATTACTTTAATTAAGGTCAATAGTGATACCATAATCATAACGCTATCATAAAGCGATACTGTCACCTACTGCTAGTTATCACTCACTGTCATACAGCACTGCATAAGCTATTTGACATTGTTTTGTAGCTAGCATAGTTTCCTAATGCAGTCTGCAGGCTAACTGTCCTAATGGCTGCGGTAAGGTTATTTTGTCATTGCATTGTGTTGTAATTGTAATCCCACACTGCTGTGAAAATGACTTGTAGGCTACTTGTAGTTTAGTAAGAGTTGTGTACTCCATGGCCATCTCTGATCACCATGGAGTCAGTAAATTAGTGCAAATTACTACACTGGTTCACTTGCATTGGTATACTTATCCATGGCACATACCACTCAGCTGGTTTGGGGGAATATTACAGTAAGTACGTTAGATATGGATTTGTTTCAGTTTTCATTGATCAGGATAAGG